GTCCAAAACTTCAAAAGATTCCAAAGAGTCTGGCACTCTAAAAGATCTACACGAATCCTACAATTCCAAAGAAAACATGGACGATCCTGAGCCCCCAAAAAAACAACAATGAAGAAAATGGCGATGGGGAAAACAATACTTTATCTAAGCCTCTATTTCTAATAACATAGTTCTAACAACTACATATAATTTGCATACATATAATAATATTATGTAAAATATGCTTTTTGAATTAACATCTTGGTCATTAATTACCTTAATTTTAGTAACAATAATCGACTCTTGGATAATAAATATTTTACTTATACTATAAATGATTTTTATTTTTTATTCATAAATTAATAATTTTCAACAATTAATTTAATATTCTGTGACTTTTATATCACAATAGATTATAAATTATAATGATTATATTATACATTCCAATTAAATGTCTCATAGATTAAAAGAAACAATATTATTATTTTCTGAGCATTATTAGACCTAATATGTTTTCTTGATTTTACGGTGTAAAAATATAATTAATAATTGATCTATGTCTTTAAAACAGTTTAAACCAATTCCAATATTTTATGTCCTAATCCTTGACATGAAATCAAGACATAATATTATTGTAGTGTACTAAGAAGTTGATAGTCAACATTTAAAATGTTCTGTTAGTAATTACTTTAGTTGCCGTACGACCTTCATAAATGTTAATAAACAATTTTGTCGATATCATTTGATAATATTTCCTACGAGAAATTTGTTTTTTTTTTTTTTTTATCTAAAGACATTTTCTCTGGCAGAAAAATTGCCCTGATCTTTAACTAACTTTAAAGAAACTGTCTGTAAACAAAATAGATTAAGCTTGAACTCGTACTTTGAGGTACTTTTCGAAATAATCGAAGAAAAATAATTACGAAAAACAAAAATAATTTATTAAGTAAAAGAAGTACTGGACCAAATGGATTTAGTTTTTTTGGTCGTATTCAAAAAACAAATAACTGCGAAGTGACTTGAAATTATCAACAAATGTATACAGTATATTTTTAAGATATATTATAATATAATATACATTTTAAAAGCATGATTAAATTTTCAAAAATATATTTTAAATAAATTTGAGCTCATAATAGATTATTAAACTTTAAAATTTTCGATCATTTTTAGTTTTTATTTAACCTAATATATATTTGTAAATAAAAACGCTTAAAAAGTTAGTACAAGGCTTATAATTTAGTTTTTTTTCAGAAATTAAATATCATAAAAAATGCATGGTAAAAACTTATTTTATAAGCTTTTAAATTTCAAATTTCGGTGGCATTGATGAAAAAAAATTATTAGTATATAATATAAAAATTAAAAAATATCCTTAGAAATGTAAAAAAATACATGTACGTCTGACGTTTCAGTTCATCAGAATCATTTTTCATGTACATACCGCTGCAATTTATATCACATCCATTACAATAACTTACTTTATCAATGATGATCATAGGTGTGAGCTGCAGCCTGCAAACTTCAATATCCGGTCAAGTCTGGAACAATTAATGCCCCAATATACTTGGACAATGCCCCTATTTTTTTTTTTAACAATTGTACATTCTAATTATAAACTGTGTAAATAGAATCAAGTTGTATATGCACACAACTGTGCATAATTTGTATTAATATTTATAATATTTGTCAATATTATATATAATATTATTATATTATTTATATATTATTTATATTATATATATTTTTTAAGTATTATTAATTTTGTGCTAATTATGTGCTAATTTTTAGACATATATTTTTGAAGTATTATTAATTTTGTTAAAATAAATAGGTATAATAAATTATGAGTTTATGAATAATATTTTTCATTAGCCATAACATGATGGCCAAAGTTACTTTAGTCAGGTAATATATACATAATCTATTTCCTAATAGTTTTTATTTACGGCTAAACTCCGAATTTAGCTAATGTGCCCCATTGGGTCGGATAATGTGCATAATATTATCCAATTTCGGACTTTAGCCGTAACATCCACATCGTACACGACATTAGGTAGGTATCTATACGATATAGTGTGTTAATTATTAGTCGTAGGTAGTATTGGTTAGCGCAGGATGACGAAATATGAATATTTTAAGCTTTTCTTCATATTATATGACGTATCGTAACAAACGTACCGATAATCTATAAATTATTCATAGACAAGTGTATTAAATTCATATTTTCTAGTAAGTTTTTACAGTTTATAAGTTATAACGTTTACAACAAAAACATGAAGTCGACAGTGACGTTCTTTCAGGTGAAGTTAATTATATTGTTTTTAGATATTTACTTTCTGCCACAGCAGACCATTATGCATTTTATTGGTCACGTGAAACATCCGAAAACGATCATTCCGAGCTCAGATGAAGGTTACAAGATCCAAGCAAGGAGAATGGGATAATAAGGTTAATCTTATGGATAGCCTTATCGACTTATGTCCAGATTGGTTTTTTTTAAACGAAATAAATATTTTTTTTGTTGTAGCCGTCGTTTAAAAATAGTAAAGATAGTAACATTTAATATTTTTTTTTTTTTTAAATAAGCATTTTAAGTTCAACAATTTTAATCATTTTAAATGCGTATAAATACATATTATTTAGTATATTAAAGAGCATAATAAATTCCATACACCAAATATTATATTTTCATATAAATTATTTGAGACTTCCTTAAAAATCATATTCATACATAATAATTTTATATTTTTCTTATTCATAAATTATTAATAATATTTATAATAACCAGAAAAATTGTCAAAAAAGACCTCGAAAAAGACACAATTCGTAAAAAGATTTTAACCTATTAGTTAAATCCATAAATCGTCAAGATACAATTGATTAAAAAATAATTATTTATGATTTGTTTTGAAATTCCACGCCTAATGTTTCAAATTAGGTTTTATGAAACTGTTCTCTTATTTTCCAATATATGTAGCTATGTTCCAATGTAGCATACAGTTACTAGTGGCATGACGTCACTATCGTATGTTAGGTATTCTATTTTGACTTTGATTGGCTCTGTCTTCTATAATATCATTTATTATTGATTATAGTCTATACTATAGACTCTATATATACTACTTATATACTTTGTAATTAATGGAATTATTTATGTATATAATAATTAATAAATTAATAATATTGATTGGCCTGCAATAGTAATTAGTAACATTACACAAATAAACAAAAAAATTATTTAAAATCATGTAAGTATAATATAAAATATTTTTATTTCTAATAAAAAACATTTTGACATAAAGTGTTGCTAAAAAATTGTTATTAGTGTACTATTTTTTAATGAAATGTTTTCGATTGTTCTAGATCCAATATATAGTACTTAATATTATAGTATCAGTTATTATTATAGACTAAAAAATGCTTTTTTTACTATTTATCTTAATTTTTTTGTAATGACGAAAAAATCTATTAGTTATAAGTTATAACTATAGTAATAATTAATTTTAGATTTGTGCGTTGTACGTATTATTCGGATACAATGCTGCAGGGTTGGCTGCACCAGCTGTTATAACTTACGAAGTGATTGACTCAGGGTTGATCCCAACCGATGTCAGTAAAACGCTTAAAGTCATCAAACCATACCCTGCTTATAATAACACGTGCAGAGTTAATACAAGTTTTTTTTCTATTTTCAATTTAAAAAATTATGTATTGATTTCATAAGTAATTTACGATTCTTATGTCGTTGCAAAGCATTGGTTTAATTGATTTTTTTTATTATTTTTATAATAAATTGGATTTAAACATTATTTTTCTTATTTGTTCGTTTTAAAATATCACTCTTAAATTTTTATGATTTTAATTTTGATATCTATATACAAGCCATACGTAACGCGCAGTTTTAAAGAGAAGCTAAAAAAATTAAATATTAGATAGGTACTTAGTTTACTCATTAATATTCAAATATCTGTCGACTATTGATAAACTGTATTACAGACCTGTTGGCTTTTGTTGAATTTTTTGTAAATACTTAATCAATAATTTGAATAAACAAATTATAAAACAATTATTACTTTGATTTAATTTTTTTTAATTTTAACATACATTTAGAATACACCTGGTACTTTTCATTAAAAAAAAAGTCATTTTGATAATATTTCTGATTTCTAAGAAAATTTTTTTCTATTTTTATCGATATTTAAAATTGATTTCAAGTCTTGTTTACAATATGATTTATTTTTATCTGTCCAATATTCATACTATTAGATTTTATAATAATAATGACTTGCGAGCTCAATGAACTTGGCTTGAATCGCACACACTCAAACATAACATTTAATTTATATCGACGAATTAATCTAAAAAATCCCTTTTAATGTAAATTATGTTAAATAGTGAATACCTCCTACATAGTTATGATTTCTTTTTATTCTGAGTTACCGGGGTGTTACAGTAGTAACTGTGAAAGGCAGCGTTTAAAAAATAACCAAACAAAATTTGTTTTAAGCAATTTATATCTAAAATTTAAATTACTTGAACTAACTTATTGATCTCATATGATAAACGATATAGGACTGAAGTGCCGACGACGATGACTTTGCACCCAGTTAATTATGCGACGAAAAAGCTGTATATTAGCCTAGAATCGGCTAGTACTCCATATCCTAGATATTTAACGTCATCCGAATTACCTACAACTTCAGTTCTTTCTACAACGATTTCAACTACGCCGTATCCAACAACTCCTTTTACTACCTACGACACAAATACCGATCACTACGAATAAGCCAAAACTGAATAAAGTGTTTTGCGCTTTATGTATTATCATCATAAGTTGAAGGATCGGGTGTAACAATGAGATAACTCGATTTTTTTAAATCGATGAAAGAGACATAAAAAAACAACTTACTAACTCAGAACTCTTTACTGGTTTACTGATCAAATTACGGTTTTAAAAACAGATTTTCATGCTTTAGAATTTAAATGTATAAATAACAATACATAAAAT